TATAAAAGTGTGCAGGGGGTCTATTCGCAAAAGAGAGAAATAAACTATTATGGTATACTAAATTATATTTTATTATACTTAAAACCAAAATTAAAATAAAGCAAATATTTTTCTATGTCTGACAGCTACTTCTATTTTTCCCAAATCAATTTATTTCACATCCGTTCAAATTTCATTACTACGGACCAGGAATTATTCATACTATAACGCCCTACTTCTTCTATTCTTAATAACTTATACATTTATACATTTACTCTTTTAAACAACACTTCCGATTCACATTCCTATTAAAACTACCCTTCACCTATATCTATAAATTCTTAAAACTCCTAAGTCATTTACTGACAGCTTATGCAAAATAATTATTTAAGTCATAATCCTACTCACTGGATTAAGTATATATGTATTACCAACTATATTTTTATAAAAACTTTACAATAATTTCTAAATGAAAAAAAAAACTAATTCAAAATTTCAGCACTTAAGGTCATCAATGGTACTTCATGAACAACAATTTTCAAACAAAATTTTCCAATACATTTAGTGGTTCCCATCCTCCACTAAGGATCATTTTGAACAAAACAATTACTATTTTCGGATTCCTAGCCAACAAACACAATTATTTAAATTCTTATTAGTTCGTTACTAGCCCTTAAACTTCAATTGGACAATCCAATTCAACGTTCTTCAATAATTCCTACTCAAAATCGAATATAGTTAAGAGCATTATAATTTTCCTTTCTTAATTCTTTGCAAAATTAATTAAAATGTCATTATACTCGAAGGCAATTAAAGTTATGCAATAAAATTTTCACAGTCAAATCACTCAAGTTTTTATGCATTAAAGTTCAATATCAATTTACTTCTAATCATTCACCATTTATAAAGTCGAAAAGTTTTACTAGTCACTAGAGTACTTATATTTAACTTTTCACTCGTAAAATTATTTAATTAATTTACTCCAAAAATCTCTAGAGCTCGCACATAATGTTGAATGACTAAATGTTCTTTCTTTCACAATTTTCCGTTACTTTCTCAAAGACTTAACGCGTTTTCCCGAGGCAACAAAATAAAAGAAACTCTCGCGAATTTTAACCGGACTGACTCGTTAGGTACTGTAGATTTAACTCAAACTGGACTGAACTTAAAACTGACTGATTCTTCTAAAACCGCTGTATTTATATTATTTGATCCCCCCAAAAATTCCTATCCATCATTCATTAACCTTCCTCATTTATTTGTTTAAAACCGAATAATTATGTCGCAATTTCCTGGTTTATCGGGTCAACAGATTTCGTATAAGAATGTGAGGACCTATAACTCAAAGAAAACCGACAACACGTGCGGCCATAAGGGGGCTTCTAGGAATTACGGTGGAGGATTTGAAATAAAGGAGAAAGCCCCTGAAACCCGTATGTCGTACTTTGTTACGATAAATTTATCATTTTCGTAATATGTTCCATTTCTTCTTATTTTCATTATAAAGTTGTATTTTTGCCAGTTCAGAATCAGCAAAATAATAATAATTCATAACTTAAGTAATTTGAAAAGTATCCACTAAAGGACCTCGCACACTTTATATGGGATTTCAGCGATCGGTCGATTTTTTTCAAATTTTGATATGTTGTAGAGAATTTAATTCATAACAACCTTTAAATGGGACGAAATCTTCTATGTATTATGGTCTTTGAGATATGAGCGTTAAAAGATGAACTGTTTTGCAACTTTTTGTGTGGAGAGTATACGAAATACTGATGTTTATCAATCAAAATATTGACAGGTTCACATATTTCACGTCACTAACAAATGTCAACATGGGCTAAGGCCGGGACTGCACTGGCGCCAGCATTGGCCCCAGTGCCGGCCTTAGCCTATGTTAACATTAATAGACCTATCTGGCATAAAGAGAAAAATATAGCTTAATTGTAATAAATACAAGTTAGAAATTAATAAAAGATGACATGCGCGCGCAACTCGTGGCTGGCTACAGATTGTATTATTGCAGAACAAATGTAGAATACGAATCGAACATTATACCTAATATTAAAGAAGTGATATAGTGTCAAGTGTTTTACAACGCCTTAAATCAGACAAAAGAAGAGCTTTAAAGTTTAAAGTGTATGTTAACATCGTTTTTTATTTTGATAAATGTTTCATTCGGCAACATCGCACAATGAAATTGCAAAGGAATATGTCAAGTATAATCTAACATAACCTTAAACGACACTGCGGTGAGTTCAAATAATACGTAAAGTATTAGTTTGCTGTTTGTCCAATTACACGTTACAAAGAAATAAGAAACGATTAATTCTGAACTGGCCCCTGAATAAGAATATGACGCAAGCCTGTAACAAACTCGCTTCTGCGACCTACGAGTTGCGCGCGCAGTCCAGGTAATAGGAGATCGGTCTATTTGTTAGTGATGTAAAATATGTGAACCTGTCGATATTTTGACTGATAAACATCAGTAGCACCAGTATTTCGTATACTCTCCACACAAAAAGTCGCAAAAAAGTTCATCTTTCAATGCTCATGTCTCATAGACCGTAATACCTACAAGATTTCGTCCCATTTTGAAGTTGTTAAGAATTAAATCCTCTACAACATATCAAAATTTGAAAAAAATCGACCGATCGCCGAAATCCCAGGTGTGCGAGGTTCTTTAGTTAATTCATTATAATACCAGTATTGCCATCTATCCGTAAATAAGATGAGCATATAAATGCATAAATCTGTCATTGAGAGAATGGTGCCATCTACCTAATAAATTTATTTTTAAATTGTGATAGGTTTCTTTAACTATTTTTATTATTCCTTACTGACGGTCATTAATATTTTTGTTTTAAAAAACTATGTTTATCCTGCTTTCAGCAAATAAATATAATTCTGTCTTTCCCTAATTTTTGATTCTGAAATTATTATTTTTAAACTAATGACCTAATTAATTAGTGGTTTTGTGTTTCTAACATAACCGCAGTTAAGTATAAATAAAAAACACGAGACTCGTTTTCTTCAGGGGAATTGAGGTCTAAAAAGGCTTTTGCAGACCGTTGTTCAGACAAGTAGATTTTCACTTTGTAATTTTTTTGCTTCTTCAGATTTCTAGATTTTCCCTTAATATTTTTTGTTTTATTTCACCATCAGTGTCTACTATCACTGATGGGTTTTTATAACCTGATAAATCTTATCCTATCAACCTTCAAAGTATAAATATTATATTTTAATTTTTTATCTATTGTGAGCCTCCATGGATAGAAATCCGGAAGGTTAAAAATCATTTAAAAAGTTTTAATTAAAACATTGAATTTTGACAGTTCCTTGGATTTAATTTATTTCACCCTCAGCTCTATCTTGTAGTACCAATAGTAGGTACCTTAACTTAAAAGCAAAATTTATCTATTTGGGGAAAATCTAGAAAATAATTTTATTTTTAACCATATGTAATGTTGATATTACAGACTTTTTAAAAATTTGAAAATATCACTTTACTGTTTTTTCATTTCCCTGCTCCATTTCCCGTCCTCATTTTCCGTCCTCACTTCCTGTCCTCATTTCATTATATTCATGTAGCAGGGAAAATTGATGAAAATGACAAAATTTAGGCAAATAAATTGGCAAAAATTATAATTAAAAATAAAATAGAATACTATGCTCGACAGGAAATTTATTTACTGTCTCGAGATATAGTTTATCTCAATGCTAAGCGTCCTGATAAACTTTAAAATCTCTCGACAATAATAGCTTATTTCCCGTCTCGGATTGTAATATACTATTTTTTATATTGTTCAATTTTTCCTACTTTTTTTTTTGTCTGTTCAGCGCAATTCCACGAGAGGCAGCATTTTGCTCAATGTTAACGAGCATCTATTTTTAATCTTGCTGTACTTACTCATCTACTTAATTATTGCTACTTTATTTCACATATTCTATTTATTTAATTTCATTTAATTATTTTTCTATAAAAATATTTTTCGAATTTGCAATAGTTGCTTATACCTGATTCTGTTGGAAAGGAGTGTCTGCTCAACAATAGTTTTATAATCAACTAATCTCATATTAACTTTTTTCTCTGCAAGATACTCGCTTTTCAACAGAATTCAGGAATTTAATATTCCAAAATTTGGTGAACCTGTTACTGTAAATTCTTTTCTGGGTACCTATTCCTCAAGATCATCATTTGGAGTCTGGATCAGCTGGAGTGACGTCACACCAGCAATCTATCCTCGTTCGTGAATATAGGAAACAACCTGAAAAGCTCCGGATTGGAAAAGGTACATATCGTATCAGTGTCACCAGAACAACCAAGCTGTTAACTTTCAAATTTTTTTTTTTTAGTTAGAATTTGAGTGGTGTCATTTGCATATAAAGGAGCTACACGTTTTCTTTTTTTTTTTGAATTCCACGACCTAATAGGTTCTCTTGCTCTAAAATTACAAATAAAGTAGTTTATTTGTAACAACTGATTGATTGATATACCCGAGAATTCTCGACAATGGAACTCAACCTTGATGGACTAACCAGCTTAGCAAATTGCGGATCGATGTTTATCAGATATTTAGAAAATTCTCTGGGAGATGGAAACGGTATCTTGATTTTAGTAATTCAAGGTGTAGTAGTTGTATCTAGTCTTGTGTTGTTTCAACTAGATTTGTTTTGGAAGAGTAGTTTCACTTTTGTACGAGACCACTTAAGTACCAAGCCAGAAAAATGATTCACACATTTTATGGTTTTTATTACCTCCATAATAGCCGCAACGTTTTTCATCAATTTTTGTTTTTGTAATAGTTTCTTAAGAAATTTTTTGCCTGTGCTTTTTTAAAAATATTATATTGTTGTTCTACGTCTTATAATACCTACTTTTTTTTTCAATATTTCATTTTGATTATACGACTGAGTAATAAAATTAAAATGACTGGGTTACATGAATATGTAAGAAATCTGGAAACTATTACTGAAAAAAAGATGTTGTACATATTCCAAAATCAAGCGAATCATCAAAATAATACCTATGTTTCAACTTGAATAATAAAAAACAAAGTTCAAATCTTGAGTATAGTTGTACATATTATGGATACTGTTCCTGGTTATCGCGGTTTCACAATAAAACTGCCATTTAGTAATCAAAATATATTTATAACAAATAAAGGTTAAAAACAAATAAATAAATAAATTAAAAATTTGCATGAAAGGCAACTACACGTAACAAACAAAAAATTGGGCAATTTTTATTGATCATAGTTATTCATTATTTGCTTGCAATTCAATCAGTTGAGCTAAGAACTAGACAAGTTTCGACAATAAAATTCAAAAATTGTTATACTGCCAAATACGCAAATAAAAACTAAAAATAAATTATGCATACATCAGAAAAACATGTTCTTATTATTTAGCTACCTACCTATAAAAATGAGATTTGGCATGAAGAGCATAATTCTCTAACAATATAACATTATACTAAATAAATATAATATCCTACACCATTAGAAAAATACATATTTTAGGGCATATTGTGTAGGTATTATAAATAATATGAAAAAATATAAATTGTTATAAAACTACCACCGAGTTAGATTTGATTATATTTATGTATTAAAAACTTAAAAACTAAGAGCCTTCACTTATTTCCATACATAATAATTTTACGAACATTTTCAAAATGCATTGACCAGGCATTAACATTCGATATAATTGCTAAGTCTTAACGCTAGAATTACCCGTAAAAATTTGACAGTATAAAAATATTTAAATTTAATTATTGAAAATTTGATAGAGCCACTTGCATAATTCTTTAAAACAGATCAGCTATAGTTTTCCAAATGACTTATTGAAGTTTAATTCTATAACTGTGCGTTTTTACCTCTTATGAGGATTATTTGGTCACTGTATCGCATTTTATCTAACGTGGATGCGGCTTTATATGACAAAACTTGTCTGTGTATGACATGAAGAAGAGAAAGAAATCCTTTTTCTTTCGTGTCAAACAACAAGACCTTTGTATCAGATAGGCCGAGGTTTTCAACTTGATTACGAAAGTGATTCCAAAGTATATAAAAAATAACTATAAATATATCCTAAACCTAATTTTATACCAAACAAATGTATGACCTATTTTCATTAAATTAATTAAATTTTGCCGTTAAGAGTAGGGTCCTAATTAGCTTGACACGTGTGTTGTAAACTGATTGTTGATTTAATTGAATTGGAAGCTTAGTACTTCATAAAGTGCAAGAAAAATAAAATAAATGTATAATTGAATTTAAAGTTTTTTACAGTTAAAGAAAAACATATTGTAGCTATTAGTTTAGGAGTAGATGTAAGAAAATTCAGTTTCAATTTTTTTCTACTTTAAGAATTGAAGTTTGAAATATTTTTTTATTTATCTTGCAAAATAACTCATCTAGCTTATTTTATAGGTAATAACACATATAATTCACAATAAATAATATTACACGTGACCTCGATACTTTTAATTATTTGTTATTCTTACTTCTAGCTGCCCCTTCGTAACCTCTATAAGCCAATTGATCTTGTTGAGTGAAAGACCTATCGAAGTGCCCATATTCATCATGATGGGGATGCGATAGCACTTCGTATGTGGAAGTATGATGCTTGTGCTCCAATAGCTTCTTCAAAGCAATTACCGAAGCTATGGTAAGAGCTATTTTACCTACTAGTAATGCTTTAAAGGCGACTAAAGCTACAAATTTTAAGGCTATGGCTCCGAGAATGGCAGCTTTAAGTTGAATCAGCATCATCATACCCTTCATACGATCACCTCCACCTCCCCCGCCTTTATTTTTTCCGCCGCCTCCGCCACCTCCTTTGCCACGACCTGGAAAAAAAATCCACATATTCAAATTCCTTCAAAGCGATATTTTTCCCTAACAAATATAAAACTGTTCGAATCCAATTTCAAAGTATCGTGAAGAGGCTTTAAATTTTCTATTGGCATGACCACGGACGAGAAATTGAAAAACATATAGGAATCCAAACCGACGTAGCAATGCAATAAATCCGTTTTATCCCTGGAATATAGCCCCGTGGATAAAACAAATAATAATATGTATGGGGATATTCTGAAATAATTGAATTTGTATAAATTCATCTTAGTGTAAATACATATAAACATTTTATAAAAGGTTCGAACCTAAGTTAACCCAAGCGAACCCACCCAAACTAGCACAGTTTTTTGAACGATTGGGGCGCAAGGAATCTGAATAATTATCAGAGACCAATTTTTTTTTCTTCTATTCAGACAAAGCTTACCTTCTTCAACAGATTGTTTCATATCCTGAAGAGTATCTGGAGGTACTTTAAGTTCAATAGTATGCGAGCTTAAGTAATCAGATACCTTGTCCCATAAAATATTTTCTACAGCATCTTCCCTAGCTCTTGGCTCTTCCGGCAATTTATCTTCCATATTTTTTCTAGAAAATCTTCCGTTTGGTTTTATTTTGAAACCAGCGCCGACATCAAGCTCGTTCGGTAGGGAGTCGATATATCGAAGGGCTCTTTCCTGTAAAATAGAAGAAAATTCTCCTCAATACTATCTCTATGTTTTGATTTCTACTATTCTTCTTTTGTGTTCTATCGAAAACGACATTTTCCCGAGCAAAAGATAACGACATTTTCCCAAGCAAAAATAACGCCAAAAAAATGCGGCATTTTCAAATTTATTTATGGAAACCGACGTATTTCCAATCAAAGTACCTACTCTTTGTTTTTTTTTTTTTTTTTTGAAGACCCTGTGCATAATACTCCTTGAATTGTATTAGGTAATGGTAATAAGATGAGAGCTGTTAACTAAGGTTAACGGCTCATTAGCTTCAGAAACTATATTGAATGTATCTATATCTAATACACTTTGGATAGAAATTTGATTGATGCTCTTCCTGAACATCGTAATTAGGTTTATATTGCTTATTGCACAGATGTTCATATTTTAAAACAATTACTCAATCTACCTTAGTTCGCTACTTGTAAATATCTGAACTTATTGAACATACATATGGAGTGAAATTAATTCAGAAACGATAAAGACAATCAATTTCAACAACTAACAATAAATTAGAGTAAATGATTAGGTAGTGGAATTTATTCTGGTGATATATTTCAAATTATTATTACATAAGTGACATAAAAATATCATGAATATGTAATTTCTTGCTTTTCCTGTATCATGATTTAAAGCAAAAATTTATCGGAAGTATCGATTAATGAACAAAGTACGGCTCCAGGCTCTTGACTAGTTCTAACCTAAACTGTTGAATAATAATGTTCTGATATGAAGGTTGTGGATTGAAGAAGATAAATGCCCGGAAAAATATTTGAGTACATTTTATTTAGGTAGGTACCTACCTTCCCAAAATTAGAGCTCTATTCTGTAACAGTCAACCATTTGGTAGCCGCCTATCGAGATAGGTATATGTTTTTTTTTTTTGTTTTTTAGCGATATATTATAAACCTCAAAGCCGTTACAAAAACTGGCACCGAGGCCTTAAAGTAGGAGTTAACGAAAAAAGATGTAAGATGCAAGCCCAAATTTTTGTGCGAAAGCAAAGAACATAATGACGTTTGTTATAATGATCGTGCACTGAAACTTATTAGCTCTCCGATCGTTTAGTCCTGCAGAGGGTCTATATTAGGCAAAATTTCGCATGCTTTGACCAAAGTGGGTAAGATAATTAACATAAAATATCTGTAGGTATTTACTCACTTTTAAACATAACGAAATTTCTTTAGATCCACACTCATCGACGAACTCAACAGCAATTTTATAAACTTCCATTTCCTCTTTGGTCCCATCATCATCATTGTCATTTGCAAGGACGCATCCCGTAAAAATCACTAGGGCAAGCAGCAAAATATCGCGGCCCATTGCGAAGATGTCCCACGAACTATTGCCGCGGTATCAAGCACTTGTGGACACACACAACTTGTCCGAACCGTTACAGTTTTATCACAAGAAAGATCAACACGTTGTTTATACATTTATATCAGAAAAATGTGTGTTACTAGTATCAGTAACCATTTTAAGGAGAAAAAGAATAAAATGGTAACACTAGGTTAAACGATTGAGGCGGTAACGTTCGGTAAATTTTGCTTTTTTTTCTATCATTTCCTTTGAATGGAATGAAAATACCAACTTGGCGGGTAAATGAAAATATCGTCGGTTAGTTCTAAGAAATACGTTATTATTGAATTTAGAACGGCACTTGATGTCTCACTTTTTGCAAAAAATATGATGTAGCGATCAAAATTGTCATCATTGCAGAGTTTCACGATAAATATTCAGTCCATTCACACGTTAAAAAATATTGTTGTTATAATCTCTTTAAAGTGTGAAAATGAACCCTGCTAAAGAGTTGTAGTTATGTCATGATAAAAAATATAAGTGGTAATAAAATTTAAGTGAAGGTAAAAGCGTTTTTCTGTTAGTTTCCGTTTGAAATCAAAAAAATATCAATAATAGAGCAGAACAGTGAGCAGTATTGATGAGGCGATGCAATACCAACTTTTTATTATAAATTCCAGTAAATAAAAAATTGCTTACAATGGGACTGTTAAGAAAGTGCTAATGAACCCCAAAATTAATGTGGGGATATGAACAATGGGAGAATGAACTGCTTTAGCTGGTCATCATTTTTGAAATAGCCATATATTTGATTTTGATACTGTTCGAAAGTATGAATCATTTTGGAAAAATATTCATTGAGTGAAAAAATCTCTATTTAGTTCTGCATGTCCGATAACCTTAAAGCACATTTTGACATCGTTCACGTGTTCACTGTTGTGGCGGCGAATTCATGAGCATATCCAGCAAGTAATTCCCTATTTTTTGTTGATTTTGCTCCAAATTTTGAAGGCAGCCCTAAAACATCGGTCTAATCACTTTTTTCAAATAACTTTCTCCGATATTTTGAATCTTACCCCACTTTTTGCGTTTCTATATCTAAATTTTCCTATATGTATGTAGCGAACATTATGGGGGACACTGCATTATATTATGATATCAGGTATGAGTACAAATATTTCAACATGAGATAATATGGTCCATTTCAAGCTAAAACTGTCCTATTAACCATGGGTCAATTGTTAGTATTTTCGGAGTTATCACAGAATTTAAATTTAGAAAAATGTTAACAACGTGACAACATCGTACAGGTATTATCTCTGCCAGGAATGTGGAGGATCCCGTTTACAAAATTAAGCAGAGAATAATCGACACAAGATGTACTTGCAACAAACGTATATTTCGTATTGTCGCTTTTACAGAGCTACCTGCTAAACTTTAACTATAATCTTCGTTATGCCGACAAGGGTTTTATTGCCTTTAGTCATCGACATCACTAAAAATGGGGTTTGGCGTGAGAATTTGTTTCTTGGTAATTTTCCATTTACAGTCGGCCTTATCTGACTATTCACGCCCTCGGGAAACAGCGTCTACTTGCGATCTGAAAAACACAAAACAAACAAAATTACTTTTACTTATAAAACTGCTTATCATCAGACTTTCTGATGTAATCGGTACCAGACTTTCTGATACAATCATTTTCAGACTTTTTGATTCATTGTTATCAGACTTTCCGATTCATTGTTATCAGACTTTCTGATTCATTGTTATCAGACTTTCTGATTTACCGTCATCAGACTTTCTGATGTTTTTTTGTAATCAGACTTTCTGATTTTATCGTCATAAGACTTTCTGATGTTTTTTTTTTAATCAGACTTTCTGATTTTATCATCATCAGACTTCCTGATGTTTCCAAGTTTTGTGTGCTAAGATGTCAAAACTATAAGTCATGCTCATCAGACAGTTCTGGTGAGTCAGGTTCTATAGCTGCCACATACGGTTGTAGCAGTTCAGATGGTAAAATACCTGTATAGGATACGCGCGATCTTTTCGCACCAGGTCTTCTATTACATAACGATCTTTATCCAGGACTTTTATTATCACAAAGGGCCCATGATACTTTGGCTTAAGTTTTCGACTCTTACCATCATTTGAATACTTGGTTCGATAGGCAAGGACTTGCTGACCAACCACAAACGTTTAGGGCTTGGCATGCCTCAAATCGTAGTGTAACTTTTGCACCTCTTGTTGTTCTTTGATTCTTTGGGTAACTTTCACCCGCATGTCTTCTAGGTCTTGGGGCTCCTCGTCACATACTTCATGGACAAAAAAAGCGTCATTTATTCCCCTTGGCTTATATCCCATTAGAACCTCATATGGGTTTTTTTCAGTAGAAGCGTTAACTGTTGTGTTTATTCCCCATTGGACAGAACTAATGGAATCATCCCACCGATTCTCATCATCAACTGCCGCATTTAGAGCTGACAAAATGACTCGGTTCATCCTCTCTACCTGCCGCTCTTGGTGTTGCAGTAGCACACAATACTCTTTTGATGCACATTTCTTGGTAAAACTGTGTAAAGTTCTTGCTCGTGAAGGCAGATCCACGATCACAAATAACTCTCCTTGGTGCTCCAAACATACTAATTATTTCTTTCACGAATTTTATCACTAAAGAGGATTTTGTAGTTGTTACGGCCTTAAACATGGTGAATTTTCTAAAAACGTCTATGGCTACTATGACGTAAGAATTTTTCTTGACACTTTTTACAAAGGGTCCTAAATGGTCAATATGAAGGGTATTCATTGGAACGTTTTTCTTCTCAATACTATGCAAGCTGCCAGGTATTTTTCCAGAGGCTTTCTTGTTGTATTGGCAAAAAAAAGGAGTTTATTTATTTCCATCTGCTTACGTTTGGCTTTCGAATAATGTAAATAATAGCTTGCATTTTTATCACTTTTCTAGTAAACATAAAAAATGTGCCGTTTTATTAAGTTGTGAATTGCATTCAATGACATTTTTTCACTAAACATTCAAGAGCAAATTAAATTATATTCACTCAGCTACTTGCCAAATCCTCATTATTAAAATATTAATTTTTGTTAAAAGGTTCTCAAAACACTCAAATCAACACGCAGATTTTGCACACTCACACTTCCCGTATCACGCAATCTTTGTAACACGGGCACAATGTTCTTTTATCAGGTAGGTGGTGTTGGGAAATCTTTCCCTGTAAATTCTAAATGGGCATTTTGCAACGATTCTGCCTAAACAAGTATCTGCATATTCGACGTTTGTAAACATTTTATTTTCAAAAAACGATGAATTACGCGCGTTTCCAATGCTTCAACTAACTGACAAAAGACAAATCAAGTGTGGTGTGTGTGTTGTGCTATGTTGCCAAATGTTTAGATACCGATTTACAAGTGAAATTTTCATGTTGTTTTTTTATTTATTTTTTTATTGTTGTTGATTAAAAATGCATAATTACTCAATAATTGAATGAACTAATTTTTTTTACAACTCATAATGATTAAAATTTTCTTTATCTTTCAAGTATTCGTCAAAAAATGTCAAAACTTCAAAGGCCTTTTTCTTAAAAATGGTTGAGTTTGGACCCCATGTAGTATAAACTTTTTTTTTTGTTCAAAATGGGCCATATTTCCACGTGTTAAAATTTTTGTAGTCAAACCTGATACACCCTGTGTAGTTGTCGATAAGTTTAATTATTAAGTCAATCAAAATTTAAACGGAAAATCGATTTAAAGATTCACAAACTAACACATTCGGATATGTATCCATTTGAATGTGACACTTGCATGGCAAAATTGAAACAAAAAGGTCTTTTGCAAAGGCACATGTCAACACATTCGGATATTTATCCTTTTGAATGTGACATTTGCAAAGCAAACTTTAAAGGAAAATACTATTTGAAGAAACATAAATTAATACATTCAGATATTTATCCCTTTGAATGTGACACATGCAAATCAAAATTTAAACTTAAGGGCAATTTGAAAATTCACAAACTAACACATTCGGATATTTATTCATTTGAATGTGACATTTGCAATGCAAAATTTGAACAAAAAAGTCATTTGCAAAGGCACATTTCAACACATTCGGATATTTATCCTTTTGAATGTGACACTTGCAGAGCAAAATTTAAAGAAAAGGACTATTTGAAGAGACAAGTATGTTTTCGCTTGTGCGTCTGGCGCTTGCGTCGGGCAGCAGCCGCTAGATGCAGCGGCTGCCTGTGCAGTTGCATGTTTTCATTTGCTGCGTTGCGTGGCAATACATTTTGATTGTCCTACTATAATTCTTCAGGATGAAGAGGAAACGTTTATTGATGGCCCTTCTAATAGAAGAGGAAGAAGAAGAAGAGTTACCTTAGGGCTTTGACAAGAAAATGTACAAAAACTCATGATCTTTTCAAAAGACGACATACAGAAGGATTTAATAATATTTTAATTGAAAACCACTTAACTTTTGATGAGACTAAGCTTAGGGCTTTCATCAGACTAAACTTTGCACAGTTTCAATTTGTGTTCCATATTTTTTGCACTAAACTATAAGAAAAAAACTCTCAACCGCAGAGCGGCTGCCGCCAGACTGACACACGGCTCAGTCGAGACGCAGACGCTTGCCGTCGGATGTCTGGCGGTACCGCTGAGACGCACAAGCGAAAACGGTTATGATAAAACACATTGAATCAGTAGGCTGCCGCCGGCGGCTGCTGCTTGACGCAACCGCCAGACGCACAAGCGAAAACATACCTTTACACATTCGGATATTTTTCCTTTTGAATGTGACACGTGCAAATCAAAATTTAAACGGAAGAGCAATCTGAACATTCACAAACTAACACATTCATATATTTATGCACTTAAATGTGATACTTGCAATGCAAAATTTCAGCAAAAAGGTTATTTGAAAAGCCACATATTAAGACATTCTGATATTTATCCTTTTGAATGTGACAAATGCAAATCAAAATTTAAACGGAAAGACCATTTGAAGGATCAGATATTAACA